GAGCAGGGCTGTCCAACTTCCAAGAGATTGTGATCTACTTCCACTATAAAATAAACAACCTGGCAGTGATCTACCCATTGGATTGACCAAATTGTTGTTGAGCTTTTTGGGGGTAGGCAAAGCTGTTGAGCTTTTGGGGGTAGGCAAAGTTGTTGAGCACTGCCCCATTTTTTTAGGGAGCCAGACATCCCACGATCGACCAGTGGATCACGATCAACCTGTTGGAGCCTGTCTTAGAGAAACTGGCTCCACTGTGCTCCAATGTGTCCCACCAAAAGTGAATCTGCAGTGAGCCCCAGACAGCATACCTATTTTTATACCCCAGATGAAGAGAGGAAGATTTCACGCTCCTCCGCCAACTGACCCTCCTTGACCCTCCCCTTATTTGTCATCCCCCCACAAAGCACTTCCTATCAGAAGAAGGACAACTGCCATCACTGGCACACCAATAGCACACACACCCTCCACCATCCTGATAAAACCCCTTAATCCCGATTTCATACCTTGGCAGATTTATAAAAAATAAACACACATACACCTCCTAAAATAGCCTCCTCTCTTACACATCTTCAGCAGTACAAAAATAGCAAGTGATGCTCCACACATCGTGGAGGTAAATATTATCCCCTGCTAATGACTGCCAACTAAGCATAGGCACAGAGGTTAACTGAAAAGTTGGTAGCACAACAACGCTCTTTCCATGTGGCTTGCAGGTGCCACCAATTATTTATCATTTATTAAAATTGTAGAGCACCTTTCATCCATAGATCTTGGGGCGGTTCACAACATAGACATACAATATAAAAACACAAAATACATGATAAAAACAAGAATGAAAAACCTTACAGACTAATAACCCCCTCCCCTCCCTTCCTGTTGTAAAAGAGTCAACATGTCTGTGAAGATGTGCAAAGGAATTTGCTGACACAGATAGGTAAACCTATGGCCTTGTTCTTCATCAGTTCTTGCCTGTGGTGTTGGGTTTGCTCTGTCCAATAAGGCCATTGCCTAGTTACCCAATTGCAACTCTGCTTGTTATCTGACTTCTAATCTGTGATCACTGCTGAGAGGAAAGTATCTGAATTCTCCAGCTCAGTGTCCTGCCCCCGAAGCAGTGGCTTCCCTTCTGTAAATCTCTGCTCATGTAGGCCGGCCATGGTCACTTCCTGCAGCAAAAGTCAGCCCAGAGCAGCTGGTCCCCTCCCCCAGTGCCAGGCCAGGCCGGGGTCTCCTCCGCCTGCTATGGAGGGGCCGTCCCAGCGTGACCTCTCACGTTGCAGGCGCCTGGGAGCGGGCCATCAGCGACAGGCAGGAGGACAGAGCCAGTGCTGAATTTACGTTTGTGTGTGTGTGTGCCTGGCAATCAGAGAACCTCCTTTCCACAAAAATATGTTTAGAATCAGAATATTATTTCATGAAATCAAACCCAGGGAGTATCTTCTTTTTAAAAAGGTTCTAAGTCTGAAAGGGACGCGGGTGGCACTGTGGGTTAAACCACAGAGCCTAGGACTTGCTGATCAGAAGGTTGGCAGTTTGAATCCCCGCAACGGGGTGAGCTCCTGTTGCTCGGTCCCTGCTCTTGCCAACCTAGCAGTTCGAAAGCACGTCAAAGTGCAAGTAGATAAATAGGTACCGCTCCCGCGGGATGGTAAACGGCGTTTCCATGTGCTGCTCTGGTTCACCAGAAGCGGCTTAGTCATGCTGGCCACATGACCCGGAAGCTGTATGCCGGCTCCCTTGGCCAATAAAGCGAGATGAGCGCCGCAACCCCAGAGTCGGGCACGACTGGACCTAATGGTCAGGGGTCCCTTTACCTTTAAGTCTGAAAACCTCTACCTCTATTGCTTAAGGGAAACAGTAAGAAATTAGTGAGAGCAGTTGATTTACAACCCTCCAGCATATGGCATTTTTATTGTCTCATGCCCTTTTGTGCCAATGCCCTATGATTTGACTCACCTGAAGTGGCTTACAGGTTACTGTAGCTAGGCAAGCATTGATTATAAGCTCGTAGAGTCAAAGTTAATTTAACTGTTTCTTCTGGAACAATGTCTCTCTTTGACACTCTTAAGCTTGAGATCTCTTGAACAAAAGAAGCAAGTGCTCCAAAGGGCAGAACATTACTTGTGCTCAGATCTCAGTGATAACTAAGGAGCAGGATAAAAGCCAAGAAAGGCAGGTGGTAGAATTTCCTCTTGCTAGTGGGGATGGAGGAAGAGAATTTCAGGGCAGCCTTTCCCATCCTGATGCCTTTTGGAGACTTTGGACTACAGCTCCCCATCAGTCCCAGCCAGCGTGGCCAGTGAGCAAGGATATGGACATTGCCATCCAAACCATCTCAGGAATGTCAGATTGGAGGTGTCCAGTTTAAGACAACAATGCTAGCTTGCTTGTTATATAATATTTTATAACCAACTACAAAGAATAATGGATGATGATGTGAAGGAACCTCAGTTTCTAGCACCACCATCTTAATATCCAGCTATCACCACTACCTTTTGGAATATGGGAAGCTCCTTTCTCCCAGGTCAACCAGTTGGTCCAGTTACGCCACCATGGTCTGCTATGACCAGCAGTGGTTCTGTAGGACCAGCCCTTAGTTGTGGGGCATGTGAAGGTCCCTTGCATCTCCAGTTATTGCTGGGAGGGAACCCAGCCTGAAATTGTGGATATCTGCTACCATTCTGTGAAGGCAATGCTGGGTTAGATGGAGTAATGGTCTGACACAGTATAAGGCAGCATCAATAATATGTCCTGATGTTCCAGGATGTTTCTGGCAGAGATCGTTCTCATCACCTGCTCCCTGTTAACTGGAGCTACTCCTGACTGAACCTGGGGGGTGTCTACATGCAAAACACATTCTCCACCAGTGACCAATAGTTCCTCTCCAGAGATACCATATCTGAAGAAGTGTGCATGCACACAAAAGCTTATACCTAAAACAAACTTAGTTGGTCTCTATAGTGCTACTGGACTATTTATTATTATTATTATTTCGACTGCGTCAGACCAACACAGCTACCTACCTGAACCTCCAGAGATACATAGGTGTGATGTTATAGAGTGGCTGCAGGATCCCACGATGAAGGAAAGCATTGCTTCTGCACATAACTGTGGCATGATGGGAAGTCTTGCTTCTAAGCTTTACTTTTGCTCACACTACACAAACCGTGCTGATGCTAAGACATTACCTCATCACCCTGGTATGTGCTGTTCACCTTGAGTTCACACCATATCAATCTGTACTTACCCCTCCTTGTACATTCCTTTTTCGTACCACTCTGGTACGGGCAGTCCGAAACCATGCCTGTGTAAACTCCGTGTTCCTTTTCCCAACCTTTAACCTGTCTATGATTAATGTCTTATATGCAATAATTAATGTCTTATATGCAACCCTTGCTTTGTACTTATGTTAACCAATCAGCAACAAGCACACGTGGCAAACGCAGTAACATTCAATAAAAGGGAGTCTCCGAGGCTTGCTCCGGAGACGCCTCCCGTATGACACCTACTTGCTCGTCTGTCGTTCATTTTCAACCCAACATCCCACCATGAATTCACATATACATTCCATCTCAGTACTAAAAAACACAAGAGGCAGAAGGGGATATAATATACCCTCCAACACTTCTCCGATGGAAAAAAAGATTTCCTACCATATCTTCCAACATTTCTCTGATGAAAATAGGGATGTCCTAAGGAAAAGTGGGGGGACGCGGGTGGTGCTGTGGTCTAAACCACAAAGCCTAGGGCTTGTCGCTCAGAAGGTCGGTGGTTCGAATCCCCGTGATGGGGTGAGCTCCTGTTGCTCGGTCCCCGCTCCTGCCAACCTAGCAGTTCAAAAGCACATCAAAGTGCAAGTAGATAAATAGGTACCGCTCCGGTGGGAAGGTAAACAGTGTTTCCGTGCACTGCTCTGGTTTCGCCAGAAGCAGCTTAGTCATGCTGGCAACATGACCTGGAAGCTCTCTCACCCTCCTCAATAATTCTAACTCTGTTAAACCCCAGTTGCTCCTTGAATTTCTATTACAGGTTTTTCTGACTCTGAGTACGATATAGTAAAATGGAAATGAAGGTCAGGCAGTTAATCAGTAAGTCTAATTTACAGCCTCTTACCTAACCAGAATAACTGTCCCCTGCCATAAAGAGGTACTAAGTCAATCCTTTCAGCTATTCCTTCCTTTTGGTTGCTAAATTTCTTCTAATTTGTCAGCATTACCATGAACAAATTGCATTACTCAGATTCAAATAAGTATTTCAAACAGAGCTTCATCAAGGTCATCCTAACCCAATCTCGCCAGAAAGATTCTGTCTCATATTTCTGTTTAATGTCATGTCCATCACCGGGGAGACCTGTTCTTAAAAATTCATTAAATCAGACATAAGGCTTCTATCTTTTCATTTGCTTTTCACTCTCAAAATAGATTTTGTTTATTTTAAATATAAACTTGGTTGAGAGCTCAGGTCAACAAAGAGATATTTCATTTGATTGCAAAAGAGCTCAAGATCATAATCATAGGTCTGATCTGTTATCACCCTGTCTTCTCTAAGTCACAGGCCAATTTGCTCGAAAAAGTTCTCCTGCATAAATGTTCCACAGCTGAGATGTTTGTCTTGTGTCCCTGTGAATTATATAAAGATCTGAGCTGCAATTTTTCAGAAGACACGTTTTCTGAGATGGCTGAAACTTTTTCTCTCTCTTTTTCACCCTCCTAGAAAAGGCTACTTCACAGAATTTTCTCCAAATATTCTCCACAATTCCTCACACATACAACCACCCAGAAGCATGCAAGACATCATGGAAGATGGAAATTCTGTGGAGTCAGTGGTTGTGCAACAGCAGCCAGGGAACATTTCCAGTCCTACCTGGCAGGGCCAGTACACCTATGAGGCAGGCTGAGGCAGCTGTCTCAGGTGGTGGAATGCCAAAAGGTGGTTCCTCTACCACCAGCGATCTCTCATGAGACCTCACTGAAATTTTGAGACACACCACCCCTGCTACCTGGAGATACCAGGGATTGAACCTGGGTCTCCTGCATGCAAAGCAGATGCTCTTATCACTGATGTGTGGCCCTTTCCAGATTGCACAGTCCTCCTTTTCACTGTTGCTGGACGTGCAATTAGCAGGCAGTGTCATGGGCTGGCTGGATACTGAGGAGTGGTGTGAGACACCAGCTGGAGAACCCCCAAGGGAACCACCAGGGGAAACAGGCTCGGAGCCAGGGCACTGGTGGTGGGACAGCAATTAGTGGTCAAAGGGAGAAGAGGGAGCAGACTTGGAGGAAGAGGTGTCAGAAGCTGAAGAGGTAACAGGGTTTAGTGAGCAGGAAGAGGCTGTGGCAGAGAGCAGTCTAGAATCAGAGGCAGAAGCAGAGGCTGGTGAGAAGTGGAGGCCATGAGACAGCATGGAGGCAGGCTGTTGAAGAAGCCAGAGAGTCTCCCCCTCCCTGCTTTGACCAGCTCCCCTCCCCTCTGGTCTCCTAGAACATGAAGAGGGATGAAGAGAATGAAGCAAAGAAAGACAAGACGAAGGAGCCTCAGGTCGTTGGGGAAGGACCCGGGGCCGGAGGAGCCTTAGAGAGCAGTAGAAGGCAGAAATCTTTGGTCCTTGCAACTGCTTCATTGGGGCAAGACCTACTGGGAAGAGTTGCTGTGATCACTAGGCCTAAGCTGTTTTGTTTCTTTGAATAAGGAGTTAACCACAGACACCTTGTGAGTTATTGCTGACCTGCTCCTGACTCCCACCTTAAGTATGCTGTATATATGAATATACTTAATGCATAAGGGAGTTCATCTGACCACCCCCACCACATTCACACACTTTTCCACATTAAAACACTTCCATTCAGAATGGTACCTAGGTTGTCCGCCGCCCCCCCATCTCTTTCCATATAAATAGCATATTGGCGTCGTATTCCTGAGGGAAAGAACAACCCTCCATTACTGTATGTTAACCAATCAAGATAAGTATGTGGGATGCTCGCAAAAGTGTGGCATCATTTAACGGCATAGTTTGCTAAATGGGAAAAATTGGCCGAAGCAAAGAGATGCCAAATGAAAAGAAATGACAGTTCTTAAAAGATGGTTACATGGCAGATCTGTTCCTAATAAATAAGCCGTGTATCAAGTGTAGTGGATATATTTGCACAAACCCTGATACATATACTTCTATATATCACAAGAATTGCCTGGTGAGCAAGAGATATAAATCATCGTTTTATGGGAGATCCAAGAAGGAATTACCTCCCGTGATTTAAACTGCATGTCAATAGGAAAGAAATGCCATAGGAAAATTGTAGAACATTTTCTCTTGTACACATTCCTTATACATGCTCTTTCACTCATTTTATTTGATATTTATTTTGTTTGTCTCGTTCACAAAAGCGGAATTGTGCATCTTCCAGGAGTTGTTGTTGTTGTTTAGTCGTTTAGTCGTGTCCGACTCTTTGTGACCCCATGGACCAGAGCACGCCAGGCACTCCTGTCCTCCACTGCCTCCCGCAGTTTAGTCAAACTCATGCTGGTAGCTTCGAGAACACTATCCAACCATCTCGTCCTCTGTCGTCCCCTTCTCCTCGTGCCCTCCATCTTTCCCAACATCAGGGTCTTTTCCAGGGAGTCTTCTCTTCTCATGAGGTGGCCAAAGTATTGGAGCCTCAGCTTCAGGATCTGTCCTTCCAGTGAGCACTCAGGGCTGATTTCCTTAAGAATGGATAGGTTTGATCTTCTGGCAGTCCATGGGACTCTCAAGAGTCTCCTCCAGCACCATAGTTCAAAAGCATCAATTCTTTGGCGATCAGCCTTCTTTATGGTCCAGCACTCACCTCCATACATCACTACTGGGAAAACCATAGCTTTAACTATACGGACCTTTGTTGGCAAGGTGATGTCTCTGCTTTTTAAGATGCTGTCTAGGTTTGTCATTGCTTTCCTCCCAAGAAGCAGGCGTCTTTTAATTTTGTGGCTGCTGTCACCATCTGCAGTGATCATGGAGCCCAAGAAAGTAAAATCTCTCACTGCCTCCATTTCTTCCCCTTCTATTTGCCAAGAGGGGATGGGACCAGTGGCCATGATCTTCATTTTTTTGATGTTGAGCTTCAAACTATATTTTGCACTCTCCTCTTTCACCTTCATTAAAAGGTTCTTTAATTCCTCCTCAGGAAGGTAAAACATGGAAGTTGCACCTAAAGCATCAATATCCATGTCCATGCTGCATTTTTCTTAGGTCTAGAGACTCCTCTTTACATAAGCATCTTACCTCCAACCAGTGTTCTTCTCTCTCTTCCTTCTTCTGGGTTGTTGAGTTGTCATCTTCTGTTCCATTAAAGCGTATTTGCAGAGGGTACCATAGTCAGTAGGTAGAGCATCTGTTTTGCACACAAAAGATTCCAGGTTTGATACTCAGCATCTGCAGGTAAGTCTTGGAGGGACCCTGGACTGGAAACCTGGAGAGCCACTGCCAATCAGTGCAGGCAATAATTAACTAGATGGACCTGACTCAGTATAAGACCACTTTGTTCTGTTGGGTGGGCAATTCTCCCCTCCACACACCATCGCACATTGTATGATTACCTTTCACAGTGTGAACCCCGCGAACCTTTACATCACTGAAAGGTATTCAGCTTTAAGCATCTATTTAAATGGGGATGTGATATTATGATGCATTGCACAGCAGTAGGAACTGCTTTGAAATTACTGTGGCTGGATAATCAGGCGAGGATTTGAATAAAATTACATGCTTATGTGTCTTAAATAAAGTGTAATACTTGTCAAAGATGCCTTCGGTGGAGATTATTGGTTTTTTCCAAAAAATAAAATAAAAAAATGAAGAGACACAGAAATTAGGAGAGTATCAAGAAACCCCATTGTATAGTAACTCCACAACTTATACAGGGCTTACTTTCTGGGAATTGTGCCTAAAGCCAAAATCAGGTACAGTGGTACCTCGGGTTACAGATGCTTCAGGTTACAGACTCTGCTAACCCAGAAATAGTACCTCGGGTTAAGAACTTTGCTTCAGGATGAGAACAGAAATCGTGTGGCAGCGGCGCGGTGGCAGCGGGAGGCCCCATTAGCTAAAGTGGTACCTCAGGTTAAGAACAGTTTCAGGTTAAGAACGGATCTCCAGAACAAATTAAGTTCTTAATTTGAGGTACCACTGTATAGTCAAAACACACCCAGTGCTATGGCAAGTGGGGGTGCTATGGCAAGTGGGAATGCCAAAGTCTTTTTTCTTGGATACCTGTTCCCCTTCTGCCCCCTTTTAAAAATTTTTATATTTGTTTGCCAAGCACAGAAGGCTGAATGCACACAAATTGAATGTGTGTAAGTTGCAGGTTTGCTGCAAAGAAATCAAAGAACATGGAGTGCAACTTCCAGAGATAGGAGGGCGGAGCAGGACTGTGGAGAAGCAGCGAGAAACAGCACATTCCCAACTACAGTTGTACCTTGGATCCCAAACGCCTTGGTATTCAGATGTTTTGGCTCCTGAACGCCGCAATCCCGGAAGTGATTGTTCCGGTTTGCAAACGTTCTTTTAGAACCCAAATGTCTGACGGGGCTTCCACAGCTTCTGTGACCACGCTTTGGTTTCCAAACATTTTGGAAGTCTAACGGACTTCCAGAATGGATTCCATTCAACTTCCAAGGTACGACTGTACAGTGAAACCTCGTTCTGCGTCCGCCTCCACTTGCATCCACTTCAGCAAAACCCGGAAGTACCAGAATGGGTTACTTCCAGGTTCGCCGCTCGTGCATGAGCAGAAGTGCTAAATTGTGCTTCACGCATGCGCAGAAGTGCTAAATCGCACCTCGTGCACAGACGCAGCGCTTCGATGTGCATCATTTTTGGCTTGCAGACAGGCCTCCGGAACAGATCCTATCCATGAAATGAGGTTTGACTGTACTTGCATTTCAAGGTTTTAAACCAAGGATTTTAAAACCAAGGTTTTAAACCTATGGGCAAGGATGGTGGGCATTGTTTATTTTCATGGAGACCTACCAAAAAGGAAGCTATAAGTGAAAATAAATGCTGTAGTCATGAAGTCATTACATTCTCAGGAAGCAGAAAAAAACAAAGTGGGGAGTGGGAAATCCTACCCATAACTTGGGGGAAGTCCATTCAAGGAATCTTCGTTTGTCTTATTCTACAAGACTAGGAGGGGAGGTACAGATTTCACAAGGAAAGTTAAAGCATGGTCCAAAGTAAGGTTGCTAGATCTTTAGATCAGGGCTGAGGAACCAGTGTGTGGTCCTCCAAGTGTTGTTGGACTATAACTCCCATCCTCCCCTGACCATCTTCCCTGTTTGCTGAGGCTGATGGGAGTTGGAGTCCAACAACATATGGGTGGCTGCACAGATTCCCATCCCTGCCTTAGATGATTCTTCAACATCAGTTTTGTTGGACTGGTCATGTTGTGCAGATGCCTGATTATCGTCTTCCAAAGCAACTACTCTATTCCAAACTTAAAAATGGAAAGCATAATGCTGGTGGCCGACAAATGAGGTTCAAAGACTCTCTCAAGGCAAATCTAAAAAAATGTAATATAAATGCCAACAACTGGGAAACACTGGCCTGCGTGCACTCCAATTGGAGAACAGCCTTTACCAAAGGTGTCATTGGTTCTCAAACTCAGGATGAAAGAGAGAAACGTGCTAAGAGGAAGGCACGCTTGGCAAACCCTCACCATGATCAACTCCCACCCAGAAACCTATGTCCCCACTGTGGAAGGACATGTGGATCCAGAATTGGCCTCCACAGTCACTTACAGACTCACTGTTAAAACCGTGTTCATGGAAGACAACCTTCCTTGGCTATGAGTGATCACAGAAGAAGAAGAAGAAGAAGAAGAAGAAGAAGAAGAAGAAGAAGAAGAAGAAGAAGAAAGGGTAAGGCAAACTTTTCAAAGCCTTGTCTCTAGGGCTGCAGGATTAAATTGAGCCATTCATTTGAAATCAACTAAAAGGTCCTCCTTGATTGAACATTTTTTAATCTTCAAGAAAGTAATAATTTTAATGCAAGTGTTTATATAAGAATGGCAAATGGTGGGCATCGCCTTCGTTCTCCGTTTCA